CCTTAATATTATACATACAGAGCTATCGAGCTGCGTGTCTCCTTATAATCACTAACAATTGGGCCCTTAGAGGTTTTACATTACTACTCTTCAGAGTGCATAATAGTGGCCCATTTAATACACGATCAACACCAAAGCTTGCGATTAACTAGTGGACTTAGGCTTCTTAGCGATCAGAAGCGTGATACGGCTTCCTTTAGTATTATACAATGAAGTTGAAGTTTTGGTTATCAGGTTACTTCTTGCACAAGACAGTGTTCTCCATTTGGAAAAAGCCATGTTGGATTTATGTCAAGTTTCACTCATCCAGTGGGGCATCACAAAACTAAAATGCCAGGCATAATGTAGTTTAATTCCAACCAATAAGGAATATTGTTATGTATGTATAACTAACAGTTTTTGGTGTAAAAGCCTGCATATATTAATCTGTATCGGGTTGATATCGTGAGCTGAGGCTTCGATTTAATTAGGCTTTTTTCCGCAGAATATATCGAATAATTTCGGATATTGCTCCCGACTCAATCAAAAATTTCCGGATAACATCATAACATATCTCCTATTCTGGAATCTACACACATTATGCCTCAATTTTTATTGTGAATGGCCCAAAGCTGAGGCATGCCAATACATACATGCACATGGCTTTCCAAAATGCAACCACTGTCTGGATGCAAAATAAGAGAACAAATTCCAAACTTTTATATGTATTAAATACTGAAAGGAAGCGCATACAGTAATCGCTTAGCTTACGCGCTATCTGCTAGCCTAAGCCTAGCTATTGGTTTAATCGATGTGTTTTAATTGTATTCTGGCACCTGAAGGCATGCTAATGTAAGACTCTAAGCCCAATTGTTAAGTATTGGCCACTCAAGGCACAGCCTTCCATAAAAATAAACTCGTAATCGAGGAAATTGAGAGTAGTGGCATATCGGAATAACGGTATCGCCAGAAAAAGCCAAACGAGCATCCACCTACCTGTAGTCTTGTTCCTTTTACACTGTCAAAGTGTATAATAACTTTTTGTTTGGTCTTTTTTCTATATTCATGGGTCTTTCTCCTGCTATGTAAACGTTTTTTGTTGTCGTGCGGACCGGCCAGAAGAGTAGTGCTACCTTGGTGGGCGCTCAATGAGGATCCAAGAAGATAAGAACCAAGGGGTTTTGTTTATGTGTTTTTTAAATCCAAA